AGGGCTTCATGGCGGAAGAGCTTCAGCCGCTAGAGCACTGTCTCAAAGGCCAACACGACCTCTTGCGGAAAGGAAACTCCTTGATAGGGGTGTCGAGTTCACCACTGTGGAGAATGAGCCTTCAGCAATATGTGTAAAAATGTGGACAATACTTCAGTGATCTTCAATGCATCTGTTTCTACTTCACGGCCATCATGATGCAAGCGTTCGCCTCTCTTCATCTTATCGGCCTGGGCATAAGACCTTGGACTCCTACCCCCAAAATTTTAAAGGCATTGGAGCTCTATTTGTAAATCTGTCTATCTGAGTCGGTCTATCTACATCTTTATACACACACATACGTAAGAGAGAGAGAGAGAGCAGGAGAGAGGGAGAGCAGGAGAAACGTCAGTCCCGGGCAATCTTTCCGACCAGTATTCCAGGACCTGAACCTGAACTCCCACCCCATGAGAGCGCTCAGGTTGGAGTCCCTGAATTCCTAGCGTGTCCTACCCGTCCGTTGCAGATGCTCGGTGCTGCTACGTGCTGCTGCACCCTGGCTCTTGATACTGCACGGTTTTGTGATGATTTGTCATGTGTTGTGGCTGCCCTCCGGGCTGACAAGATTGCCTCTTCTCACATGCAGCCTCATGAAGCTGCCACGAACCACCGGGCTTCAGCAACGGAGGTGAACCGCACAGCAGAGCACGCGACTCCAGCACATAACTGCACAATGACATGCAAAGAAACATTCCTGAACGACCTACATGTCGTCATGACTACAGAATGGCAGGGCCTTTTTTGCGTAAGTTGCAGGATTCTCTCCCGACCCCGGATGATTTGGGCTTGCCCCTAGAGATCATCGACCTCAAGGATTGTTTAGTGCTTTCTTGGGGGGTTGGGGGGGTCGTGCAAGTCATTCTGGTGGTTGGGGGGGGCCGCAAGACATTCTCTGGGAGCAGGGATGGCAGCGGTAGCAGTTACTATCTGAGTTCAACTTTGGCTCCACTTGGTGAGTTATTTGCAAGTAGGGCTCGCCCCACTTGCCCTACTTGCGGACTTGGCAACTTGTTTGAAAGTGCACCTGCCCCTAGCTGCCCCTCTGGCCCCATTTCCCGCGAATGTCGGCGCTGCCTTACCCCCACCTTGCCCTAAACCCTAAAACATAAAAGACCTAAGCCCTTAAACCCTAAACCACAAAACTCTAAAACCCTAAGACCGTAAACCCCAAACTTTAAAATCCCCAAGACCATAAACCCGAAAACCCTGAACCCCTGAAGCCCTAGAGCTGTGGACTACTGGCTACTGAATACTAACCACTAGCTACTAACTACGAGCTACTTACTACTTACTACCTGCGACTCGCTAATTACTACCTGCTGCTTGCTTCACATCTACTAAACACTACCTAGTAACTACTAATACCTACTAAAAAGCTACTACTAGCGGCTTAACTGTACAAACCCACTACTAACCACTACTAACTATCACTGACTACTATAAACTACAACCAGCTATTACCGACTGTTACTAATACTACCGACCACTACCAACTACTACCTACTACGACTACGACTACGAC